GAAGTGAGGAAATGGGGAAAGAAATGAATGGATTGGAAATCACTCTGTTAACAAAATTTGTCAAGGAAGGGATAGAAAACGAAGGAATTGGCAAATGTGAATAACACACACACAGAGCGGTAGGAAGAAGAGATAAGAGAAAGTGGCAAAACAGTAAATGAAAGAGATATGTAAGTACGTAGATTCGTGGAGGAGATAAACACGTCAAAGAGGGGGAAGAAAAAAAATGAGCAAGAAAATAATACATACATATCAATACATATGTACACACATGTGCGTGTTCATACAAATGCATATACAGTGATGCACGTATATAAACAGAAACCAATGTGCATACGTCTACAACCATACACACGTACATATACATACACATATACAAAGAGACGTGAAGAACCCACAGTTGCCAAGCCGGAGCGACACCGCCTTCGCCCACAGCCCCCTTTGTACTGCCGCAGCCGAGAGTGCGCCCGTGCCAGTGTCTCGGGGTTTAATGTCCTGGAAAAGTGCACGCCCACGAACAGCGGGCCTTCGCTTCGTTCCTGGCATGGCTTGTGCAAGATGCAACAGGAGTTTGTTGGTGGAAGGAGGAGAATAAGTATGTATAATTTTGGGTGAGGGTAATGAGGATTGGTTTTTCATTTTATATTTTGCTTTTATTATTTTTTTGGTCTGTTTAGTTTTCTTTTCTTTTTTGGATTTTTTTTTTTTTTTATAATCTTCCGTGTGTAGAAAGAACCTCTCTGGGCTCGTTCATCAACATGGAAGATTGCAGTTCTTGATTATCAGATCTTTATTAACTTTCTTTTTTTTCCTTTCTTTCTTTCTCTCTTTTTGATTCCAAAATGATCTTCAATTTTTTTTTTTTTTTTTTTTTTTTTTTCATCTCATTACACCTTTACTTACCAACCTGAAGAAATTTTGTCTCTCTCAGAGTCCACCAACTTACTCATGTTCTTGCCAAGTAAGAGAACACTGGTTCTTTTTCTTTAAATAGGATTGCATTGTCATTTGAGAATTTGGTTATTAAGTCGTGATTACTGCATACACGAGTCAAGTCTAGGAATCCGTGTTAAACCAACTTTGAAGTCAATGTATCAATCTTTTCAGTCAACTTTCACATCTCTGAATCCATCTCATACTTGTGTGAAGCTGTTCAACCAACATTCAAGTCTATGATTCTGTGAAATCAATTTCTTCTGTTATTATTATTATTCCTTCTAAAAAGAGAGAATTTCATGTCTGATTTTGTGTGTTTTGTGTTTCAGTTTTTTCTTTATTGTTGTTTTTTGGATAAGAAGGCGAGCCAGGTCAATCAATTAGACAGACCTGGCCAGTCATCATAAACTGAGAGAAAATGGAATTTGAAAAAAGACGAGAGCCAATTAGGGTACAAAAGTAAATTTATTTCCCATAATCATAATAATTACAAATCATGCCAATTTGAAATAAGAAGCAACACATATCTATCGATTCATTTTTTTATTTGGTTTTTAATTTTTTTAATCCATGTCAAGGCACATTCTAATTCGAAGAAAATTGGGTTCCATTCCACTAACTGATCAAAAGTAGCAAGCGAACAAAACATGATGCACTGTATTTCAACCTTTATTACTATTGAGTTCCTTATACCTTGATCCTAACTTACGAATAGGCCTACAAGTCTACTATATACAATCAAGAAATTTGAGCCAAAGATGTAGCTTGTTGTGGTGGTGGTTGTTGATTCAAATTCTATTCTTGAAAACCATGAAGCTTGTGGGAGAAATCTGGTTACGAAAGGGAGTGGGAGGGGCAGGTCGGATGGAATAGACATATGAATTAAAATAACCAAGATTTACCTTTATTTCACAATCCCTTTTACTTATTTATTTGCATGTGGGGGGAAGGGGGAGCATAAACGGAAAGTCCTCCTCATGGGTACTTAAGAAGTCCTCGACTGAACACTCTCCCCATCCTCGTCCTCCTTTTCCTCCCAGTCGCTCGAGAATTCTCCCAGGTTTGAAATCCAAGCCCCGTTCTTATACTCCGTGAGGCAAAAAATACTGTAGGTGAGTGTACATGGTCTTAGAAAGAGAGGAAGCAAAAGATTTAGGAGGGTCTGTCTTACGGTCTGGTCTGGTATCGACTCTTGGTTCCCGAAGGTACCAAAGAAAAAAAGAAAAAAAAAGAGGGTTTTCTTTCAACCCTTACCTCCGAAGTGTTCTTGAGAATTAGATCCTTAAAAAAAAGCCGAATGTTTTCGCTCTATATGAAAATCTATCTTTGTCTAGTCAACATTTTCCGGAATGATTTAAAATACGAATCAAATGAAGCTGACGTTCCATTGGCTCTCAAGACCGTCCTATTTGCTTCCCCTTTCTCTAGTCTCATCCTTCTTCCGGGTGATTCTAGCCTTTCAAAACGCTGAATATACACACAGTTAATAATAATAATAATAAAGATAAAATTACGATTCATTTACATTTCACTTCTCTTTTCCAAAAGAGTGTCCTTTGATTCTCCCATCAACACGGTATAAAGCTACAGAATAAAAAAAATTCTGGCTAATTTCTTTCCTGAATCGGAGGCCATTTGAATGAAGCCCACTTCTGTCGCTGGCGTTGTCAAAACCTTTGGTCATGGCGCGGTCAAGCTTCTGTGTCAACAAAGACGACCAGAAATACTTATGTGTCGCTGTGATGTACTGTCCACTCTTGAATTTTGATATTGTTTTAATTGCGGAAAACGATGTACTAAATATTCAAGATTTTATCCATCAATATTTTAATATTGTATATTTGAAAGGTACAACTTTTACATGTATTATTTCAATCTCGCCACACAATCCATGAGCAAAGGTTACCAAACGAAGAAAAAAAGTTACCCATCGATTCCTAAATCCAGAGAAATTCGTCTTAAAACGTTTACAGATCCGAAACTTGTCTTAAAACGTTTGCAGATCCGAAGTTCGCTTTAAAACGTTTGCAGATCCAAAATTCGTCTTAAAACGTACGTTTCCAGATCCGAAATCCGTCTCAAGTCGTTTACAGATCCACCTATGATAAGGTCCAACACGTGCCCAATGCATACCGCAGAGTCGATGGTAGTATTGGTCAAAATATCAGGTCCCATATAGCTTATAGCCTAACAATGCACATAATATAGCTGAGGTCAAGCCGAAGAAGTCAGGTCATAGCTCTAGTATGGGATGGGGGGTCAAGGTAAGGGGTGGGGTTGGCAGGTCGCTGATGTCATCTGTGGTCAATCTGTTTGTTTGTTTTTTCACTTTCTTTTTGATTGAACTAACTGTATTTTCCGATTTGAATGGTGACTCGATTTTCTTTAAACCTTTCACACTCTCTAATGAACAACGAAATGAGATTTTAGGAAAAATTGTGAAGGTTCGAAATGAGGTGTGATGGTATGAGTTCACAATGATCAGTCATCTCAAAGCATACACACACTCAGCAAATTCAGGTTTTTGGTTGAAAATTTCAAAAAAGGAAAAAAAAAAAAAATACAGACGTCGTGGAGTCAGTTCTCTTCTGATTGGTAGGTACTTGCTATAAAATGGATTTGATCTTCAACTTCACAATCGGGAATTATGTATCGACCTACTTCGAAAAAAAAACCTTCAACTTTTCTTCTCAAAGAAACTTTTCCTTCCATTTTCCTCAATTCGATAGCTGTAATCTTGCTTGTTCCAAAGACGCGAGTTTTCTTAATAATGATTTTAAAAACGTATTTCTTCCATTTAAAAAACGTCAAAAGTTTAGACGACATGACATCTTCCACATTTCTCTGCCGAAGCTACCGCAATCTTTCTCCCAACATTATATTGTAAAGAATCTGATCTGACATTTTTAAATGTTTACCTTTTTCCTCCAAAACAGTTTTGACTTGTGACTTTTTCAGGAAAAATATTTAAGACTCTTAATTTGCTTTTCCTTGACTTCCTAAGCCTAATCTCAGATTCCTTGCACAACGGAAGCAAAAAGTGTGAATGTTTCTGACACTTGCCCTTTCGCCCTGGCATCTGTTTCGTATTTTCTAAAACGGTTATCCGACTGAGAAAATTAATAAGGGTGTTTGATCTCTTATTTAGTTTGAAAATTCAACAGTTATCTTCATATACCTGACATTATTAAAAAAAGAAACAAGATAATCTTCTAATGAGTTCTGTCTGTCAAAGATCATAATCTAGATCGACAATGCCAATGAAAAAAAAAAATTCTACATATTTTGTTTCTTTCGCAGCATTAAAATTTTGAAAAGTTGATAATTACTTCAGTTTTTTGCCCTTTTTAAAAATGTTTCTGTCACTACGTCACACTGGCTAGCGGACGGAAAGGGGCAAAGATCAGAATCATTCTCACAGTACAAATTGAAGCTACATATATAAATGTACCTTATACATTCAATACGGAGATATTTAAAAAGTTGTTTTCCTATGTCTCATCATCATCTTGAAACCATGATCATCCCTACATCGTAAGCAAAAAAAAAAAAAAAAAAAAAAAAAGGAAATACACCACCTTGAAAAGTGGAAGCATCAGTAATCATTAATAATATAATTGTTTATATATATATAATTCCATATTTTTTTTTAGGTGGGTGGGAATTTTTTTTTAAATGGTTGCTGCTGCTGTTTTTTTTCAATTTCCACCTGGGGCTAAATTTTACAAAGAAAATAGAAAAGAGTGCACATTGAACTAACTTACAGGCATTAAGGTTCCTCTCTTCCTTTCCCCGCGTGTGTGAAGGAGGAGGTTCACTGCCTTCACCTGTCGCTCGATGAGGTTGATTGTGGGGTGGGTGGGGCAGGTGGGGTGGGGGTGGGATTGAGGGTGGGGTGGGGGTGGGGGGGAAGGTCGTGATGAAAACCAGGTCCTTTCTTTCTTCGTCCTTCTCTTGCGTCTTCTGTTTCTCCTTTTCCTTCTTCGGATCTTGGGTCTTCGTTATTTTTTTTATTCTATCTTGGCTTCTTTTCTTCTTTCTTCTTCGCTTCGAGTTTTTACCTTTTTCTTTTTTCTCTCTTCTTTTCTTCTTTACCGGATGGATTCCCGTCTTCGTTAACACGACTACTTTCCGATATTCCTTTCTCTCTTTCTTCTCTTTCTCTTCCATCTTTTGATGTTCGCTTTTCTCTCTCTCTATCTCTTCCGTTATTCGCCACTTTCTCTCTCTTCTCCCTTTCCCACCTTTGCCGTTCTGGACGTGGGGTTCGAGTGGTTTTGTGGTTTGAGGGGGGGGGGGGTTGGTTTCCGGTTTCTCTGTTTTATCTCTTTCTTCCGTTTCTCTCTCTCTCTCTTGCTGTTATTCTTGATTTCGTTTCATGTTTTTTTTTCTTCTCTTCCTCCTCTTCCGTGTTCTGTCTGTGGGCAATATCTTACTTCTTGTTGTTGTCTTCTTCGTTCTCCTTCTCTCTCTTTTTCTCTTCATTCACCATCCGCTCTTCTATCTCCCCTCTCATCGTTGTTGTTCTCCTTTCTATGTTGTTGTTTTTTGTCGTTTTTTGGCCAATTTTACAAGATGGAATTAACCGCCAATTATTTTTTCCTAAACGTTTGAATTTTCTTTTTCCTTTTTCTGTCCCACTTCTCTTCCTTTCTTCGATGTCTTCATATTTACCTCCACGTCCTATTTCATCGCCACGACCTCCTCTTCCTCTCCTTCCCGATATCTCCTCCACTTCTTCACTTCATCACCTCCTCGTCCACGCCCTCGCATCATCACCACGACCTCCTCTTCCTCCTTTCGTCGCTGTTAACACTTATTCCTTCGACATTTCTTCTTTTTACTCTCCATCGTCTTTTTAACTCACCTCCATTTTCTTTTTCAATCTTTTTTCATCCACACTGTCATCGTCATTGTTGTTGAAATCATCTTCCAAATCATGTTTGTCTGTTTTATCTTGTTTTTTTTTTTTCTTTCCACGTTGCAAATTTCATAAAACGGGGTTGTAAGTTCATCTCTTTTGTTTGTTTGTTTGTCTCGGGCGCTATATCAGCAAGGATTTTTTATGGACTATCTCTACGATGAAACATTAAAATCGGACTTATGGAATAAAGTTGTATACAGCATAGGAGATCACACAATTAGCATACGACTATTCTCTATCATTATTTACATCCGTCCACGTCTTTCCGGTGGACTAATTAAACATTACAAAGACAAAGTATCCCCCGGTTCCATATGGGTTCCTGTAATATTTTTTTTGTAGTTTTTTGTAGTTTTTTAAAGTTTTTGTTTGAGTCTGTCTACTTTTTAAATTTTCCCCGGCAGACACCTTAAAATCTGGGCTTCTTAAAAAAAAAAATATGTACTCGTATAAAAACACACCAATTGTCCACATAAGTACATTTTTTTACATCTATCTCTTTCCGAGCCATTCACACTAGAAACATGCCCAGAATTTGATTCTAGGACACTCTCCTTGGCAGGTATGGTATCAAACCATGGTGTTGTGCAGCAGACTTTTTCAGTTTTCGTAAGATTTCTTCCTTTTTTCTGTATAAAAACAAACAACACTTCAAAAGCATCATTAGTTCCAAACACAAGACACATCAGGAGATAAAATGTTTTTTATCTACACCTTTTTTTCCTTTTCCTCTCCCTCTCTCTCCTTCTCCCTTCTTCGGCAGCATCAAGTCGTCCATTCAAGCAACACCTGAAGAAGTGCCGCTGCGTTCGCCAACACCTCACTGTCCTTCTCAAGTCATTTATTTTCCGCAAAAAAAGACTTCCATAACACGGTCCTCTGGATATTTTTCAGCGTAAAATGAGCCTCCTGAGGGAGACTCCACACCTCCCACACGCACTTCTAAAAAATCTTTTCCTTCTAGACTTTCTCTCTCTCTCTCTCACTCACTTCTCCTCTCTTTTCTTCTCCTCCTTCTCCTCTTTCGCCTCCTTCCGCCCTCCATCTTCCTTCTTCCTCACCGACCACATCAATGCCATCCTCTGCCTCCTTTTGTGTAACAGACAGAAAGGGTCTTCACACTTCCATCATCTGGAATGTTTTAAGAGACTAAAACCCTATCAAAGCCAGCTTCTTGATCTTCCTCTCCTCTTCTCTGCATAAATCTTCGAACTCGCGACAAAGGCAATGAAATCTTCCTTCTTCCATCTCTTGCAGAAGTACACACACACACGAATTTCATTTTTCTGAACAACCTAGCAAAGAACCAATGTATGTGTGTGGTGGGTTGGTTTTGGCTGGGGGGGGGAGAAAAATGACTGACTACACTCACACCCTTTCCAGTCAGCCCATGTCTTAACGTTTTCCTTTCTCGTTATATTTATGATTACTTTTTCAAAAAATACCATGCTTCCTTGTTTTTCTTTCTCTCTCTCTCGCTCGCATTCTCTGTTTATCTTTCACTTCCTTTTCCTTCTCGGTCCATTTTCACTTTGGCTATTTGTTCGGTCCTGTCCTTGCTTCATTTCCAAAAGACAAAGTAAGTTCACTATACACACTCTTTTCTGAAGGTGACAACGCCAAACAAAGGGATGTATGTGTTATATGAGTGTAATGGGCACGTAGACCCCGGCCAAGGCTGGTCCTGTTGGGAGAGGAGAAATAAAATAATAATAATAATATATTCTGCAATAAAAGGGATAAGGAAGGGGGTATATTCCCCTGTGAAAAAGATAGAAAAGGAATATTCATCATGATTCTAGATTGATATTATCATACTGGGCTCTGAGAAAATTACTAGGAAACTGAATCCATTCCCTACTGATTTATCTCTAAATTAATACAATATATACTATAATATTCGAAATATTTGCTAGTAAAGCGAAAGATGATAAAAAACTATGAAAATAAATTACTGAAACATTGTCATAAATCATTATCTAAGCAGTTACCTGTTGCAAAAAAAAGAAAAAAAAAAGAGAAAAAAAATGTAAAACCACTGATACCTATAAAAGAGAGAAGATCCTACCATAGTACCCGATCGTGTCAAAAACTCAAGCAATTAATAAACAAACAAATAAAGAATGAAAATGAAGAAGGAAATAGCGAGCCAACAGCAGCAAGCGCCGCCGCGTCACCCACCGGGCCTGAAGCGCTGGGCGGGGGTGAGGGTGTGGGGGGGGGACCGAGGACGCCAGCCACTACCACGCCTGCCTGTCGTCCCTCACGAAGGACGTCAGGGGCTTCACGAAGTGGTGGTCGACGTGGCCGCAGGAGGGGCAGGCGTGAGTCCGGCTGTAGTCACTGAAGAAACTCAGTCTCTGGTCGGGAGGAATCACAATGGCTTCGCAACGACTGCACTGTGGGAGAGAGAGAAGGGGGGGGGTGAGTTTGGGTGAGTTTGGGCTCGAGGTCTTCCTTAATTATTTCTTTTTACTCGATTATTCACATGCAAATAAATCATTAGATTATTCACATTCAAATAAATCTTTAGACATTTTCATTACAATTTCTTTCATTTCCTATCTAAGTATCATTCATTCTACCGTTGTGCCCGCTACCAATTTATACAAAGAAGGCGACAACAAACTACAAACAAATTATACAAAGAAAACACATCCCTTTTTCAAAAAGATACAACGAAGACAAAAAGAAAAATGACCCCAAAAATACAAAAACTTTCGCGTCGAGAATAATGCAGGAAAATCACACCAAATTATCCTCAAAATTCAAATAAATCTTTAGACACTTTTTATCATTACCATTTCTTCCAATTTTCTAAAAAAAAATAATTTATCTTACCACTGAACCGCTACAAATTATACAAACAAAGAGACAAAAAAAAAACGAATAAATTTTTTATAGAAAATGTTCAAACAAAAACAAAAAACATTATAGAAAATGTTCAAACAAAAACAAACAAACAAAAAAAAACAATAATACAATAATTTTCGAGTCGAGAATAATGCGGCAAAATCACATCAAAATATCATCCGGGAATTTATTAACGTCAACCGCCATTGAGGGAGAAAAACACACGAGACAGGAATCGATCTGATAATAACCAGCGACAAAAGGCGTGATTCGGTGATTTGAGTAATTACGGTGTTCTTGTTATAATTATATTTTTGTGTTCTCTCTCTCTCTCTTATTTTCTTCGCTCTTTTCGATCGTTCTCTCTCCTTCTCCTCCTTCTCTTTCTCTTTATTAATCTATTTCTCTTTCTCAGTCTATTTTTATTTTTATTTTCCTTTCCTTCTCTTTCTCTTTCTCTTTTCCTCCCCCCCTCTCTCTGTCTCTGTCTCCCTCAAAAACCCCAGAACCCCTCAGAGAACTCTTCAACCCCACCACCCAAAACAACCCCCTACAACCCACGAACAACACCCCAAGGGGAATCCCCAGAACCCCTCCCACCCCACCCCGTCACCCTACCACTTAACACCCCCTCCCACGCCCCACAACCCCCCCGCCCCACAACCCCCGCCCCCCACAACCCCGCGCCCCACAACCCCACCCCGCCCAAGCCCCACCCAACCCCTCCCACGTCTTCCTTCGTCCTCGGCAGATCGATGGCCTTTGGCGCTCAAGCAAAGGAGGTCACGGTTAGCGAGGCTTTATCTTACGGTAGATCGTTTTTCTTCGTCTACTCTGGGAGGTAGATGACGTGGGTTTTATTTTCTTTTTCTGTTGCCAGTCTTCTTATTGCTATGCTGTATTTACTTCTATTGCTATTATTCTGGATAGAATTGTGATAATATTGTACATTTTCCTAGAAAGAGAAACGGTACCGCCATATCTTTCTTTTCCTTAAAATCCCAAACCAATTATAAAGAAATCTCCTAAAACCCAATTTATAACCCATTCTTAACAAACTTGAACCTTAAAATACGCATCAGAAACCGTTTCTTTTTTTCTTTGCAGCATTCTTTAAAAATTCCCTAGAATTTCCAATCCCTCCTGTTATTTCCCCTAAAAATAGCAGCGCCAGGGAGGGAATTTTCCCCCAGACGCCGAGGCCAATGACACGAGCAAGCAAGAGGAATACGAGACGAGGCGGGGGAAGGGGGGAAGCAGGGGGTGGGGGAAATGAGGGGGGAAGGGGAGGAAGGAAAGGAAGTGCGGGGAAATGAGGGAAAAGGGGAAAGGAAGTAAGGAAGGGAGGAATGGGAAACAGAGAAGAGAGCAGTGAGTTGAGAAGAAGAAGGAGAGAGAGAGAGAGAGAATCTGGCGCAATAAGAAAGAAATTGGGCAGGAAAAAATAATAATAATAAATGAAAATAATAGCGAAAAAGCATAACAAACAATAATAACAATAATAATAAAATAATAATAATAATAATAATAATAATAATAATAATAATAATAAATAATAATAATAATATAATAATAACAATAACAATAATAATAATATTAGTAGTAGTAGTAGCAATAATAAAATAATAGTAATAACAACAACAACAACAACAAAGAACCAAAGCCTCCAACAGCTGCTTTTACAACGAAGAATCTCACTCCCTTCCTTCGCCTGCCGACCGAGTGACTGATTGACTGGTTGTCTCCAGTCAATTAGACAGTCAGCTGGGCGGGAGAGAGACAGGCCCGTCACTCAGGCCGCGGCTGCCATCGCGTGATAAGTGGAAACGGTATTCACGAAGAGGAGGAGGGAGGGAGAGAGTGATAGAAGGGGAGGGGGAGAAGAGGGAGAAGGAGGGGGAAGGAGGGGGAGGAGGGGAGAGGAAGGGAGGGGGGGGGGGGGAGGGGAGAGGGGAGGGAAGGGGGAGAGGGAAGGGGAGGAGAGGAGGAGGAGGGGAGGGAGGGAGAGAGGGAAAAGGAGGGGGAGGAGGACCAGAAGAAGGGTCTGAGGATATCGAAAAAAAATGGGGGATCACGAGGTTTTCACTACAACTGAATTTAAAACGACTCTAATTTTTTCAAAAGGAAAAATCAATGACAAGGATATCAGCTAAAAATTGCGGGAAAAAACATGACTTGGATTGACCTAGTTTGCTCTAGAATAACTCGGGTAGAGTTGGGTTGATTCATCTTGCCTTGGGTTGACCTATGTTGACTGAAGCTTGAATTGGATTGAACTGGGTTGACTTGGATTGTAGAGGATATAGGTATATGTATATGGTGTATATGTTTTAATGTATATGTATGCATATGTAAGTGTATATGTATATATATATATGTATATATTATGTATATATGTATGTATATATATGTATAATATATGTATGTATGTATATATATATGTATGTATATATGATATATATGAATATATATATGTATATATATATATCTATATATAATAAATATATATATATATATATATATATATATATATATATATTATATTATAATATCATATTATATATATATATATACATAGATATAGATATATATACAGAAGATATATACATATAATTTATTGGTAAATAATGTACATATAAATAGTGATTGAATATTTACGAGAGTATCGTATATATACATACGTAGAGCTACATATAGATAGGACAGTATAGAAGAATTATATATGAACGAATAAGGATTATGTAAAAGATATACGTGCGGGTACGCGATAAAAAAAAGGAAGATACGAACGATGATTGTCCATTGACTCGCTTCAAAGCTTATTATGTGAGAGGGCATTATGGGCAAGTCCCCAATAAAGCCCTGGCTCTCTCCACAGTCTCATCCTTTCCTTAATCACTGGTATCGTTCTCCTTTCATTTTATATTTATCTGATCTCTCTTAGTCTAGAGCTCTACTCTCCTCTTCCTCTGCGAGAGAAGGAGACTCTTCCCTTCCTCTTTCCCTCTTCCCTCTCCAGTCCCCTCCCTCTCCCCCCTCTCTCCCCCTCTCTTTCTTCATGTCCTCTCTTCTGCCCACCATCACCATTCACTCATCGTTCCCGCCTTCTCTCGCTCTGCCCCCATCACCTCTCTTCTCTCTTCCCTTCAATCTCCCCCCATCGCCCCCGTCCTCTCTCTTTCTCCTCCCCTCACCTCTCCCCTCCCCCCATCGCCCCTCTCCTTCTCTCTTTCCCCTCTCTCCCCCTCCCCCTTCGCTCATGCAGGGTCATTGTCCACGTGACCCAGTTGCACATGCAGACACTTATTGATCTTTCCCTGATGCCTGCTTGCCTGCCTGCCTGCCTGCCTGCCTGCCTTGCCTGCTGCTTGCTCTGCTTGCCTTGCTTGCCTCTTGCGCTTGCTTGCGCTTGCTCTGCTCTCGCTCTGCTCGCTTGCTTGCTTGCTTGCTGCTTGCTCGCTTGCTGCTTGCTTGCTTGCTTGCTTGCTTGCTTGCTTGCTTGCTGCTTGCTTTGCTTGCTTGCTTGCTTGCTTGCTTCGCTTGCTTGCGCGCACTACAATTCAGAGGGTGATTGCTGGTCGCTTGGGTTTACGGTGGCTTTGTTTGCTTTGGTTTTGCCTCCTCGTTTGTTCTTTGTTTGGTCTTGGATTGTTATTTCTATGGTTATCATCATCATTATATCATTAAATATTATTATTATTATTACTATCATTATTGTTGTTGCTGTTGTTATTATTATTGTTATTATTATTATCATTACCATTATTATCATTATCATTATCTTTATTATGATTAATTATTTTTTCCTCATCATTACTATTATTTTTCCTTCTGCTATAGCTTCTAACTTTTTACCTTTCTTTCTCTTTCATTCTCTCACTCACTCACTCAATCGGATAGATAGATAGAAGAAGATGGATGGATGGATGGATGGATGGATGGATGGATGGATGGATGGATGGATGATGATGGATGGATGATAGATGATAGATAGATAGATAGATAGATAGATAGATAGATAGATAGATGATAGATAGATACAGATAGGATAGATAGATAGATAGATAGATAGATAGATAGATAGATAGATAGATAGATAGATAGATAGATAGATAGATAGATAGATAGATACAGACAGACAGAGACACACTCAATCGGATAGATAGATAGATAGATAGATAGATAGATAGATAGATAGATAGATAGATAGATAGATAGATAGATAAATACAATAAATAGATACAGACAGAGACACACAGAGAGAGAAACAGAAACAAAAGAAAGAAGACCCAGAAGAGAGAGGAAAGACAGAAAGAAAACAGAGAGAGAGAGAGAGGAAGAAGAACGTCAGAGAAAGAACGAGAGAGAGAGAGAGAGAGCCGAGCAAACACCGTCAGAGATACTGCACCAGCGGTAAGCCCAGCTGTCAAGTGTTATCAGCTGCACACCCCGGCAGAAATACGCAAAGAAAAGTGGGAAAGGGATAAATCTAATATCCAATTTAGTTTGTCTGAAGCCCCCAAGCCCCTGTCGCAAAGGTTAAGCG